TACATGCATCCGTTGCGAGCGTGCTTCCGTTTCCATCTCCACACATGTGATAGTGTGTAGGGCTCACACTCAGCCGGGGCCTGTGGCTCTGGAACAGGCAGTAATTGGTCCCAGATTGTTTTTGAGGTCTGTGTATATCTGCCTGCAGCCGCTGGTTAACCAGGCCACTTGCTCAGAAACGTAGATTAGAGGTCTTCTCTGTGGACGAGCGGTCAGAAAACCACCGTTCTTTATGGAGGAGACCCTGTTCAGTTAGCACAGCTGAAGCTCGGTCGGAGGTGAAGGACTTCTGTTCTCTCATCACTGAGACGACGACCGTTACTACTGACCCGGTCCATGTGGGCCACATGGCTGTACCTTCATCATCAACATTTTGTTAAACATCAATGTACATGACTCCAGCATGTTAGCTTGTTGCTGTTAGCTCTACCTTTAAAACCTGTGTCTTTAAAAGTCCAACTATGACTTTGGAAACTGATTCTGTCAATGGTTAAACTAAACCATGTAGCCAAACCAAGTAATACTAGTAAATATATATTTAATATACAGTATACTACAAAGCACTATGTTATATGATCATAGAATAGAAGTATTTTAAAATTCCTTCAACATTAAGAAACGATTTTTGACCATTTTGACTGTTGTACTTTAAAATGTTAAACTTCAATGATCATAGAATAGAAGTATTTTAAAACTCCTTCAACATTAAGAAACAATTTTGTACTGTACAGTACAGTACAGTACAGTCCAGTACAGTACAGTACAGTACAGTACAGTACAGTACAGTACAGTACAGCGTCCTGTGCTGGAATCTCACAGCCACCTGCTACTGGACGACTCTAACCCTAACACTTTCTCCTTCTGTTCAAAAACCTCTGGTCCCGTCTTTACGACACATCAAGGTGAAAACATTTTCCGTCTGTGTCATGATTCCCTCAGGTGGTCAGCGTCCGGTCCAGGTGGTCATATCAGAATCAGGAAACCAGCCCAACTCCCATCCCATCCAGTGGAACGCCCCGTCATCTGCTCACATCACCCAGTATGTTCTCAAATGGAAAGTGGTGAGTCTGGTCTTTCAGCCGAGAACACGTGTGTGGACCTGCAGCTCCACTGGAAATCAACCTGATTTTTATGATGTGTTTGATTCTACAGAAAGACACCAACACCCCCTGGAAGGAGGTGATGATCCCCGGTCACCTGAACTCCTACACCATCTCTGGTCTGAAGCCAGGCATCACCTACGAGGGTCAGCTGATAAGTGTTCTCAGGTTTGGACGGCGAGAGATCACGCGCTTCGACTTCACCACCACCTATGGATCCTGTAAGTTACCGGACGTGAAGAACTGTTCTGACGACACCGCCGTGTCCACTGGCCTGGAAACAACTAAGACAACATTTTCTTCTTCTTCTCTGTATTTCTTCTACAGTGGCTACATCTCAAGGGGAGACCACCCAGCCCCCACCGGTCATCGACACCTCAGAGTCTGTGACTGAAATCACCTCCAGCAGCTTCGTCGTCTCCTGGGTTTCTGCCTCCGACACCGTATCTGGTTTCCGAGTGGAGTACGAACTCATCGAGCAGGGGCAGGGCAGCAGCGGGCAGCCCATGGTGCTAGGTGACGATTATCTCCATCGAAATCTAATGTCACGTATCAACCAATAGTATTTAGTTATAGATGGAAATCAAGTCTGTTTTTTCTGTTTTCTTCCTTCTCTGTTCAGACCTCCCACGAACAGCTACCTCAGTGAACCTCAATGAGCTTCTACCTGGGAGGAAGTACAACGTCAACGTCTACGAAGTGACAGACAGCGGAAAGGACAACCTCATTCTCACTACTTCACAAACCACGTGTAAGATGTCAGAAAGCAGACAAACACGACGTGAACATAGTACAGTCGTAGAACCCTCGAACCCTCGAACCCTCAAACCCTCAAACCTTTGGCTCCACAGCTCCTGATGCACCGGCTCAGCCTGACGTGGAGGAGGTCGGGGAGAAGTCCATCCTGATCACCTGGGTCAAACCCGTGGCTCCCATCACAGGCTACCCCGTCGTGTACACGCCGTCACTGGAGGGTGAAAGCATGGAGCTCAATCTTCCTGACACCGCGACCTCCGTGACCCTGAGTGACCTCCGACCTGGGAGCATGTACAATATCAGTATCTACGCCGTGGAGGACAGTCTGGAGAGCGAGCCGGTGTTTGTGCAGGTCAACACGGCTGGAGATCCACTGCCAGGTGAGGAACTAAGAACAGGGATTATAATCTGTGAGGTCAGTCCTGGTAATCCAGGTTTTATCGACTGACATTGTGGAAAACAACTGGAGGGATTTTTGAGTATTGATCAAAAATATCTCCGTTTCGTGACTTCGACCGCAGAATCAACCTGTAACTCATCAACAGCCGGTCTTTGTGTCACGTTTCTGCCAAAGTTTCCAGTTTCAGAACCTGGTGTTGACTTTTCCAGGAGAGATGAAGTCACCGGGTTCACAGCTGCTGTTTGTGCTCATTCTGCCCAACCAGAGTCATGTACAGTTTCTGCCAGCTTTGAAACATGCTGTTTGGTCAGATGTTAGGGTTAGGTCTAAGTTAGCTTCAATAATACCTGCTTTTCACATCAAAATGGGAGTTGGTGCCAAGTGTGAGAACTGCTAATCAATGTAGAGGACCGTGAGGCCTCCAGGGGGCAGCAATATCACTTTGGAAGTTGGCAGGTCACCGTGACAGAAAAAAACACATTAGTCTGGGATAAATGAGGTAAATCATTGACGCAAAAAATACCTCTTCTGAGTTCTCTGAGCTGATCTGAAACAACAGCAGTTTTACAGTGTCGTTTGTCAAAGTTCTTCTCCTTTAAAAATCTGGAGGACTGTTATCTAGAATGGTTTGGTTCGGATTGTATTTTTAGACAATAAAGTATCTTCTCCTGACCTGGTGACGGTAGTTTTAAGGACAACGTTTAAAAAGCCTCACAGTCCAGACATCTTTATCCAATCATTAATCTTCTCCCAGGTTTTTGTCCAACTTTTTTTCCCGGCTGCTTTCTATTACAGAACTGTCTTCTCTTCCCTCTGGTCTGCACACAGTTTGAAGGAGTGTAATGATTTGGCACCTTAACAAAAGAACCTTCTACAGGCCTTCTAATATGATTACTCAGCATAAACACATTTAAAGACACAGAACACAAACGCACATGACGCTGCTTTACATCCTGTTCTGACTCAGAGCAGTGAAGTCACGGGCTTTAAATCACGTTTCTAATAAATCTCATTTATCATCTGACTATCAGACAGAAATGTCTCCGATCATGAATCTGCTGAGGGTCGTGACTAACTTGTTTGACCGAAGGCTGGGCATGTGGAATCAAAACATTCTGTTCTCCTCTAAAGTTTAATTTGGTGCCGTGGTGAATTATGGGCCTTTCCCCCACGGCACCAAATGACATGGTTCTGCACAGAACCACCAGCTTTATTTCTAACAGCTGTCGTCGCTGCGATCCAATCAGGAGCCGACCATCGTTCTCAGCAGGGGTTCAGACAAACACGAGGATCAAATGAATCTCCTCGTACGAAGTCACAGAAAAGTCCAGTTCACATGAACTGCAGGTTATTATCCACACACGGCGCACAAAGAGAATTATGGGATATCAGGTTTGGACGTGTTATGTTTAGCTCCCCGCAGCCCGGTGCTTGAACACATCGAGAATGTTTTATGAGTGAACGGTGAGTTCATATATTTGTGTTTCTGTCCACAGTTGACGTGACGTCTCCGACGGACCTGCAGTTTTTTGAGGTGTCGGATAAAAATATCGTTCTGACCTGGACCGGCCCGAGCAACGACGTCTCAGGTTACCGCGTCGTTGCCGTCCCAGTGGACGAGCCAGACTCCCCGCAGCAGGAGATGACTCTGCCGGTTACTCAGAACTCTTACATTGAACTGACACACCTACGACCAGGAACTCTGTACCGCTTCAGCGTCTACACCATTCACAACGGAGAAGAAAGTTTACCGCTGATGGGAGAGCAAACCACCAGTGAGTTCTGCTACTCTCGTGTTCTTTTAACCTTCACCTACATTTCTTGTTTTTTGACGTAATTTTCCTAACACACAAAGAAATCACAGGTGCATTTCTGCCACCTTGTGGGCTGGAGTGGTTACATCAGCCATGTGCAAAACATTAGGGAACTGAAGAAGTCTAGAAGTGAATATCTAACTGTATATATATATATATATCTATATACACACACTTTGTTTGCCTACACGTATTTCCCCATATTGAAGTGTATTTTCCGATGTGTGTGTGTCGTCAGAGCCCGACGCTCCCACAGACATCCACTTCACCAACGTGACCGAGGACAGTGCTGTGATGCTCTGGTACGCCCCCCGTGCTAAGGTCACAGGTTACCGTCTCTTCCTCACCATCGAGGGCTCCAACCCCAAACAGCTGCGTCTGCCCCCCCGCCTGACTCAGTACACGCTCCTCAACCTGAAGCCTGACACACAGTACACGGCTGTACTGCATTCAGAGCAGGACAATACTCTGAGTGTGGGGGAAACTGCAGTTTTCACCACCAGTGAGTCTTAACATTTAGAATAACCTGATTGGCTGTTAGCGTACTCTGTAGGCTATGCTATAAAGAAGCTAATGCACCTGTGCTGTGACTCTTTAGCTCCACCTATGGGCAACGCTCCTCAGTTCAGCACTGACGTGACCGACACGTCCATCGTCATATCCTGGACTCCAGTTTCTCACATCGGATACAAGGTACAAACATGACATGGATTTATTATCTTTACCAATAACCAACCATTAACTAGTCCTTTTGACGACATTACGATAAAGTACAAACTACTGAGGTAATAACTGGGGTCTGATATTAACTTTTTGCCAATATTGTCCAAACATTTTATTTTTGATATGAACCAATATCAACATATGCAGCCGTTTTGATTAATTTTAAGTAATTTTTTTTTAATTTAAATTTTTTTTTTAATTTTAAGTAATTTTTTTTTCATTTAAATTTAATTTTAAATAATTCTTCAAACCATTTTGAAGGTATGTCTGGTGAAGCAGACTGAGTGGTCGTCACAGACTTGTCAGTGAAAAAGCAAACACTGAACTACAGACCACAAGAACCAACACGTCTGGTCCAAATATGTCACACCAGAGCTCAGAATGTTCTGCTGCCCTCCAAAAAAAAACCCACTGACCTCTGACCTCTGACCTCCTGTACTCAAACCTGTAGACCTCTGACCTCTGACCTCCTGTACTCTGTTTCCCTGTGTTTCCATTCACCACTCAGCTGACCGTGCGTCCCAGTCAGGGTGGAGAAGCCCCCAGAGATGTGACCTCTGACTCAGGAAGTATTTACATTTCCGGTCTGACGCCCGGCGTGGAGTACACCTACAGCGTGCAGCCCGTGATCAACGGTCACACGCAGGGAACTCCCATAACTCGCCGCGTTATCACACGTAAGTATTTTATTTTCTGCTTTTCCCTTCAGACCTCTCTCCATCTGCCCCCACGATGTTTTGTTCACCCTCTCCTGCCCTGCGTTTGCCCCCTCCACAGCTCTGTCTCCGCCCACTGATCTGAAACTGGAGACGAACCCTAACAACGGAGAGCTAACGGTGCAGTGGAGCGGCGGCAGTACACCCGGTACGGTACCCACTCAGACGTTCACGTCACACATGGAACTCCCGGTTTAACAGTCCTTATGTTTTCACTTCAAGACGTGACAGGTCACAGAGTGACGTGCACTCCCACCAACGGCCAGCAGGGCAACAGTGTGGAGGAGTTTGTGGAGGCGGGACAGAACTCATGCACCTTGGAGAACATCAGTCCTGGAGTGGAGTACAACGTCAGCGTTGTTGCTGTGAAGGACGACATGGAGAGCAGCCCGGTGTCCACCATCATTACCCCAGGTGAGCTTTGACTGACGTTAGGATCATGTAGGGACCGGGGGGGGTGGGGGTGGGGGGGTAAGACCAGGCTGGGCATTCATTCAGCTCGCTCTAACCCGATGGGGGGGTAAGACCAGGCTGGGCATTCAGCTCGCTCTAACCCGACGCTAGCAGCTAAGGGTTGATGTAAATCAGCCTGGTGGTTGGTTTACAGCTGTTTCAGTTTCTGGTGTATATATCCAAGGATTTCAATGGACAAATCAAATTCATTGAATGAAACTAAAACTCACCAGTTCAGGGGTTTTCAAAGAGCTACATGTGTCTCCCCCCTGGGGGGCGCCACAGCTCTTCAGGCGGGGGCAGGACAACATCTAAACTAGGTCCATGGAGTAAGACTTTGAAAACCTCTGGTTCCAGATCAGAATATATACCTGGAAAACTGGCCCTTAGTTCCAGTGGTTTGATATAATGAATAAACGATTCCGTTGGAATCAGAGACTTTATTTATTTATCTTTGTGTCTGTCCTGTGTCTGGTTGTTTCCACTCACCGACCTTCTTCTCAAACCCCTCCCTCTACCTTCACCGTCGGCGTCTGTATCTGTGGTTCCTCCTCCGTGTCTTTGCCCTCCCCTGCCCCTCCCTCACCCTCCCCCCACAGAGGTCCCACCGCTGACTGACCTCAGCTTCGAGGAAGTGAGCGACACCACCATCAGCCTCACCTGGACGCCGTTCAACACCACCGCCGTCACCGGCTACAGAATCACAGTGGTGGCGGCCGGCGAAAGCGTTCCCATCTTCGAGGACTTTGTGCAGCCCAGCACCGGTCATTATAAAGTCTACGGCCTGGAACCCGGCATCGACTACGACATCAGTGTGATCACTGTGACGGACAGCGGCGAGAGTGAACCCATCACCATCACTCAACAGACCTGTAAGAACCTCGACCTCCGACGATGATATTACAACAGTTAGTGTTTCAGCCAGAAGGGGGAGCTATTGTAGTGTGTGTTAGTGTTACGTAACATCATGTGATTCTTATTATGAATAAATATCAAGTGTGTTATTTTAAGTTATGGAAAGTGTTGTGTGTGCAGTATTGGAAGTACGGTACTCACAAGACACAAAAACCAGTATACATACACACAGGTGTGTGTAGACATCTGGTTCACGTTGACCATGGTTTTATATAACACTGAGGTCAACACTGCTCTCCTCTGCTTGAGGTTTCACTTTATAGGATCATTTAAAGCTTCGGGCATACACACATACTTGTCTTTCAGTATTTACAAGGACGCCTTGGTCAGGTTAATATCACATCATGTTTTCTCAACCTCACCAGACTCTAAACCCAGAAACTCAGACTCGTAAACAGGACGGGTTCACCTTAAAAAAACAACTCCATCACATCAATAATTGTTTTTCTTTTTTATCTGTTTTCCTTTGTTTTAACAACAGCTGTTCCAGCTCCCACTGATCTGACATTTGGTGAGGTTGGATCTGACACCATTGAAGTCAAATGGGTCTCACCCCAAGTCCCCAACTCAGCTAACATCAACAACTACCTCGTCAGGTACCACAAGTCCCAGTAATTCTGGAGACGTTTGGTTTGGTCCAAACACAACAACAACAATCCTAATTTGTCGTTTTCCTTCAAAGGTATCATCCTATTGATGATGAAGATGACATCACAGAGACCAGCGTCGAAGGCACGGCGAACAGCGTGGTGCTCAAGAGTAAGACAAAGATTCAACAAGTCTCAACTTTAGAGCAGCGAGCCACAAACGTTGATGGTAATGGTTTACATTTTTCCACAGATTTGCTTCCGAACACGGAGTATCTGATCAGTTTGGTGTGTGTTTACGAGCAAAGAGAAAGCTCCCCCGTTGTCGGAACACAAACAACAGGTGGGTCTAAAAGACTGGGATTCACAGATGAGTCATTAATAACCCAGAGGTGATCCAGTGTGATCCAGTGTTGGTTTTTTTGTTTCCTCAGCTCTGGATTCACCAGTGAATCTGCGTTTCTCTGAGATTTTCACCAACTCCTTCACCATCCACTGGTTCGCTCCTCTGAGCAAAATCACCGGTTACCGTATCCGTTACCAGCCGACCAATGGTGGAAGGACTAAGGACGAGAGGCTGCCCCCCTCCAGGAACCACTTCACCCTGACAGGACTGGCCCCGGACACGGACTACGTGGTGAACATATTTGCTGTGAGCGGGACTCAGGAGAGTCTGCCTCTCAGTGGGATACAGAAGACGAGTACGGAACCGCCGTTACCACCAGACGTGGGCTCCTCGTTTCCTCGGTCGTCATCATAACGTTCATAATCTTCTCTATTTGTTTTATCTTCCAGTCTCTGATGCTCCCACCGACCTGGAGGTGTTGGACTCCACCCCCACCAGCATCACCGTCCGCTGGGACGCCCCTCCTGTAACTGTGCGCTATTATCGCATCACCCACGGCGAGACAGGTAAACCCCTGTAACTATGGACACAGCGGTCCCACGTCTATGGTGGGGGTTCCGTTCCAAGACGACTGAACCAAAAACAACGTGACGTAGAGACGCGATAGTTATTATATTATTTATGTATATATTTACCGTTTACAAACGGCAAAAAATTAACGAAACTTTCACAAATCTCGTTTACCCGTGTGTACAGAACAACTTATTCTCTGCAGATTTTTTTTCTTCTTAGGCTAGAAAATGCTTATTTTATCTTGAAAACAATAAAAAATATTGGAAATTTAAGAATGTTTATATACCGCAAAAACCTGCGAAAAACAAAACGCGGGTCGTCTGCATATTAATTCAGCCAATAGAAAGTCAGATGTTCCTGACTCTTCCCCGTGTTGTCCAGGAGGTCACAGTAACCCTAAGGAGTTCACGGTACCCGGCTCTGAATCCACTGCTACAATCTCTAACCTTAACCCCGGCACCAACTACACCGTGACGGTCTACGCCGTGACCGGCCGAGGAGACAGTCCCGCCTCCAGCACTCCGATCTACGTCACACACAAAACAGGTGCTCGTCACCGACACGGTTTTCTTTTCACGTCTTTCACTTGGTCTTTGTCTCCTCTTCATCGTCCCATCTCGTCTTCCAGGTGTGGAATCTCCGTCAGAGATGGAGGTGACGGACGTGAACGACAACAGCGTGACCGTGAGGTGGAGCCCTGCACAGGGACCAATCATGGGATACAGGGTGACCGGGGTCCCCAAAAATGGACAGGGCGTGTCTTTCACTGAGGTGGTGGCCCCAGGTTTGTTCTTGGCCGTGAAAAAACACCCCTGACGTCTGGGTTTCAATATTCCTCCTTAATTAAAGTCCCTTGTTTTCCAGACCAGACAGAGATCACCTTCTCCGGCCTGATGCCCACGGCGGAGTATGTCTTGAGTGTGTATGCACTTGGACAAGACGGAGAGAGCTCCCCTATGGTGGTCAACGCTTTAACAAGTGAGTGGTTGGTTCTCAAGTTATGGTGCCCGTACCACCGCTGGTCGTTGGGCTTCTCCCCAATCAGGATTCCCTCGTCCTCAAGTCGAAGTTCGTCTTTAACCTGAATCTCTCCCTGATTTAAGATGTGGACCGGCCCAAAGACTTGAGCTTCTCTGAGATCGACTCCACCTCCCTCCGTATCTCCTGGGACAGTCCTGAAGGAATCGTCACATCCTACAGGGTTTTGTACTCCAACTCGGAAGAAGGCGAGAGAGAGCTCCACCCTGCCCCCCGCAGTGACGCTGAGTCTGCCGTCATCTACGGCCTGAGTCCTGGGACCGAATACACCGTGAAGGTCATCGCCCTGCACGACGGTACATCCAGCACTCCGCTGGTGGGGACGCAGGCTACAGGTACGGAGGGAAATGACGGAGATATCTTTGACACTTTTGGCAAAAACATAATGTTGACCAGTTTCCTCTGCCGTCCCTGCAGCCATCTCACCCCCCACCAACCTGCAGTTCTCCCAGGTCGGCCCCACCTCCTTTACGATGCACTGGGCCGTGCCGGGTCAGGAGAACCGACTGAACGGCTTCAACGGCCTCACGGGCTTCCGTGTGGTGGTGAACCCAACCAACAAGAGTGGACCAACCAAAGAAATCAACCTGGCCCCAGACACCACTCAGGCCCACATATCTGGACTCATGGTGCGTACGGGACTGGGACTGGGACTGGGACTGGGACTGGGACTGGGAGTGGGAGTGGGAGTGGGAATCTAAGGGGAAGAATGAATCCAGTTCTCAGTCCCGGCTGTAAAGACTGCCTCTGGGATGTGAAGTCAGAAACAAACACAGGTGTCAGCATGAAAACCCTCTGATTATTACTTAGTCATGATTAGATCCATAGACAGGCTGGTACATGTGGATAAAAATGTGCAGGTCCTCACAGCCAGGTCTGTGTACTGCTACTCCATTCTACTTCATTCTACTTCATTCTACTTCATTCGGTGCAGGTTGTGCAATAACAGAATGATGAACTGACGTCTGCGGTTGTTTCATTCTCTGCTCTCAGGTTGCAACCAATTATGAAGTCCATGTTTACGCCCTGAAGAACTCACTGACCAGCAGGCCCATACAAGGAGAGGTCACCACTTTGGAGAGTGAGTACATCCTCAGGTCACAAAAGGTCATGTACAGATTGTTGATTAAGAAGAAAATATTGAATTATCAACTTTCATGTCCTGGGCAACAAAGACCAGATTACTATTGGTATAGATTTTGACGTGGTTTTCTTTGGTGACGACACCATGACAGTATCCCAGGTTCATGACGTGACTTTGTTTTCTGTCCACCATAAAGACATCAGCCCTCCTCGTCGAGTGCGCATCTCCGACGTCAACGATTCGTCCATTACTTTGACCTGGCGCTCCAAGTCCGAGCCCATCTCTGGCTTCCTGGTGGAGGCCACGCCCACCACCGCCTCCTCCTCCTCGGCCTTCATTCGAAGGACCATTAACCCAGAGTTACGCTCGTTCACTATCACAGGTGCACAGATGTGAAACTGCGTCAGAAAGAACTGCACTTTACTGAGTCTGAAATAAAAACCCAATCACTCACGAGGCTCTGGCTTCATCTTCATCTCCAGGTCTGGAGCCCGGGACTACCTATAAGATCAACATGTACACGCTGAAAGGAAGCGGACGCAGCCCACCTCTCACACTCACCGCCTCCACAGGTTAGCAATTAACTCCACCTTGTAGTTTCACTCAGTGGCAGATGTTGTCCAACACCCAACTTCTAATTCAAACCGCGGCAGAGTCTAATAATTAGAAGCGAAGCTCCAACACGTTTGGGTGAAAGTATTTCATGTGCGTTCTCTTGCAGCTAAACCAGTGGTCAGCCCACCCACCAACATCCGCTTCACCTCCCTCAACCCCACCAGCATCTCCTTCACCTGGGAGCCGTCACGCAGCCCCAGCGTCACCGGCTATTATGTCACCTACGAGGAAGCCGGGGGTTTACCCCGGGAAATAACCCCCAGACCGCATGCAGGCCAGAGCTACGCCATTGTCAACGGTGAGTGAGTCACAGCGCGTAATGACAGGGCCCGATCCCAAAATATCACAACCGACGGAGTCTCATGAAAATGTTTGGTTATAGGTTTGAAACCAGGGACAGAGTACGTCATCAAGATCGTTGCTCTGCAGAACTCTTTGAGGAGCACGCCTCTAGTGGGCAAAGCCAGGACACGTGAGTACACCAGACTAAAATAAAACGTCTTTTTAACACGGTGGCTCTTTGGCCAAAATAAACCACCAGGACTGGACCACTTCAGTCAGGTTGTTTTCATTTGTGTTTGATTTGAAGTGAGAAGTTTGTCCTGATTTGACATGGTTAATTAATGAGTTGTTTTTTTTTATAATTAAATACAACACAACGCAGCTCCACAGTTAAGATTTCATGATAAAACCTGTCTGAACATGTTTTAATGATTAAAAACTACTTCATTTAATTACACCACTGTAATCCAACACAGCGATTTTACAACTGCAATTTCACTACATGACGATTCCCGAGTTTAAACGCTACATTATACTGCCCCCTGCTGGCTAAAATCTGAAGTAAGGCAGCAACTGTATAATGTATAAATCTGTAAGTGCCTGCAGTGTTTGGTTTGATGTCAATGTTTGTGACGTCAGAGTCAATACTGTTTCTTTAAGATTAATCCAGATGATCCCGTCAATAATACCGTCAAATCAGGAGACAACATTAAACTTTGCATTTTTCTAAAATGGCGTTGATTCTTCTGATTTGTTCAGACTTCTCAGATAAACGTGGAGATACATTTCATTTTATTTTCCCGCCTTTGTTTGACGTGACTTGGTTCTAAGTGAATAAAACGGACTTACGTGTTTGTTCCACATCCAGAACCGGCCACAGACCATCCACTCCTCGTCCCTGCGCTGCCTCAGCTTCCTGTCCCTAATCAACCCAGCACAGACATCCTGGACGTTCCAGAACCCTTCAATGACAAGATGTAAGAAACAGTGTAAAGATTCAACATCACACACACACCTTTCCTAGGCTAAACTAATTTCATTTTCCCTCTGCGCAGCTTCAACTCCAACCACGTGCACTTGGCTGGGACTAACGGTCAGAACCAACCCGGCCAGCAGGGGCAGCACATTTACACAGAGTACCAGAGTCTTGGACCCAATAACGGACTTTATGGACCATTCAGTGGACCTAAAGAAGGCCAGCGACCCACCCTTAGAGAACCACTCATCTACGTCCCTGTAGCAGGGCCCGATGGAAACAGAGTTCCACTGGTCAAGGTGTGTGACCCAGAACCAGAACCAGACCTGACCAAGTGCATGTTATATTTGGTCCTGCTACATATATTTGATCTGTGTCACTACCTGGTCCATCCTGTAGGTGAGCGACGGGCCTCTGCCGGGTCTGGCCTTTGGTTTCCCTGACAATGAGACGGAGATTCCTCAGGAAGCACAGACCATCACCTCCATCTCCTGGCAAGAGATTCCACAAACGGCTGAGTACGAGGTCTCCTTCAATCCCATCACACACCAGGAGGAGAGTGGCTTCCAGGTACTAATAACTGTGATTAATTGCGACCATATTTAATCACGACTAATCCCGATTAGTCGTGATGAACCCACAGCTAGTGGGTGATGAATCAGGTCAAATCTTTTCACTTCTCATGGACGCGGTCTGTCTTCACACAGATGCGTCTTCCAGGCACATCCCACAGCGCCACACTGATCGGACTGACGTCTGGGGCATCATATAATGTTGTGGTGGAGGCCATGAGGGGCGGGGCCAAGGAAAAGGTCCTGGAGGAAGTGGTTACTGTCGGCAACACCGGTACAGCCTGCTCTTCACAGATTTGTTCCCAGTTTTCCGTCCATTTCTCTTCAGGTGTTTGATGATGAAACGTGTGTTTTGGTCCATTTTAGTTCCAGGCGACATCAACATCAACCCCAACAGAGACGTGTGTTACGACACCTTCACACACACCTACCACGAGGTGGGCTCCGAGTGGGAGCGCATGTCTGAGACGGGGTTCAAGCTGTGGTGCCGCTGCCTGGGCCTGGGCAGCGGTCACTTCAGGTGTGATTCATCCAGTGAGTGGTTTATTCATTAACACGGAGTTCGTTTATAAAAGTTCACCAACTCTTATTATGATTTCAGACTTTTCTGGTGAGTATGACTCATGACTGTGACTCATTCCCCACAAACTGCACTCATTGGTTCTCACTTCAGTTCAACAACTTTCAAAATAAAGCGCTGACTGTAATGAGGTACTAAAAAATCCAGATGCCATCCTGGGCCACTCAGACTGTTCTAATGAGCCGGTGTTTCACTACATGAATGCATTGTAAGTGGGATTATCTGTACAATGGATTTAATGTAACACCTGGTAACAGCTACGTCTGCAGTGAGCCCATGTCGGACCATCTGTTCTGTTTACTTTAAACTGTGGAAACGTGACGTTAATCACTGCTATTATTACTAACAGGTGTTGGGTTGTATTTTTGTACATTTCCTGTGAAACTGTGTCTGTTAGACCTGGTGAATATGTTGAAATGTAGGTTGCTGTTGATTGGTTGGTGTGTGGACTGATTCTGCTGTGGAAACACGTTTGTTACTTCATGCCCTTTCCTCACCTCTCACCTCTCACCTCCTTAACATTCTCCCCCCTCCGTGCTTCTCCCCTCTTAGAGTGGTGTCACGACAACGGCTACAACTATCGTGTGGGTGAGAAGTGGGATCGTCAGGGTGAAAACGGTCACATGATGAGCTGCACATGCCTGGGAAACGGCAAAGGAGAATTCAAATGTGAACCTCGTGAGTAACAGCCTACAACACCGTAAAGACACAGTCCAGACAAATACTGTGCTTGTACTGTGATCAACTGAGTGCAGTGTTTTGTTGTACAATCTAAAAGTCAATAAAATGCAGGACAAAGATCACGATTTCATCTGAAATTCTCTTTCAGACGAGTCAACCTGTTACGATGATGGGAAAATGTTCCAGGTTGGGAACCAGTGGCAGAAAGAATATATGGGCGCCGTCTGCACCTGTACCTGCTATGGAGGACAACAGGTCGGTAACATCCGTCGGTTCAAATGTGTACTTTAAGGTGTAACACCACGGAGGGAAGAACGGGTGTTTCTGTACATTCATATTTCCACGTCCTCTCTCAGGGCTGGCGCTGTGAGAACTGCAGAAGACCAGGAACACAGACAGACGTGGAGGCTGATCTCCTGCAGCCTGTTAATCCAGATGTCTTTGACCGCTACAGAGAAAATGCTCTACGCAAACTGGTCAGTACTTTTAACTGCATTTATACAAACGTTGTAAATTAAAAATATTTATGAATATGTATGGAGAAGGAATAGTTAGACTAGATGATGACATTAAGTGAGTTCAATAAGTTTAATACGTTTTAAGGATCTAATGTGGTCACACATGGCCCTTCTTATGACCCGCAATCCAGATGTTTTTTTTTATATTTAAAAAAGCCCTCAAAAGGTACAGTATAGTTAATGAAATGTTTTTACATCACTGATGTATTATTTGTGTAGCTAACACGCTAACCTTTAGCTCCTACATTTAGCACTGAAAAAGTCGCCACACTGTCTGAAACTAATGCTGTCACGTTCTTCTCTGGTGTCCAGAACATCCAGTGTCCCATCGAGTGCCTGAGACCTGAGCTGCTGGCAGACGCTCACAGTCCATCAAAGAGGAGATAAGGAGACTGAGGGGGGCATGGAGAGGGGGGGGCAGAGGCCCAGAGACCCCTTCTACGAGGGGCGCTTCGTACTGCTTTAATGACAGGAAGACTTTCAATTACATTTGCCCCATAAAGGTTTTCCCCACATTGAAATCTAAGTGCCTTAAAGAGACTTTTTTGGTAACGTCAACCTCTGTGCTGTTCAAAGACCGTTGGACATTTTCAAAACTGTGGTTAATTTTTCAACACAAGTCTGCCAGAGCACAAGGCATTTTTCAACACAAGTCTGCCAGAGCACTGGCAGTGCTCTGCTGTTTTATCACATGGATCTGGTCACACACAAACAGTCAGTATTATTGTGTATTTTTAATTTTGATATCAGAACATTCCTTTTACAAAATCCTCCTTAAAAACCACTACAGACGTCCAGTCCAGCTTCAAGCCTCACTTGCTGTGTTTCTAATCATTTTTTTATCTCACTGTGACAAAGATGTAACCACAAGACAGGAATAAACTGCATTCCCCTGGGTTCCTTTGAAATCCCAGTCAAATTGATTTAAAGAGCCATGCATCAAAGTGTTCAATCTTGTCTTCAAACTAGCAACTGTTTTAACCTCAGTAACAAAGACCGGATTAATAAACAGAGATCTAAACAACCCAATGAGGAGGTTTAGATCATCTGAGTCAGAACAATGATGGGGAATTACTTCAAATATCACTTTAAAAGTCATATTTTTAAGTGTTATATTTCAGATTGTGTTGAAAACAATGACGTAACATGTAGTTTTGTGTTTTTCTTTCCTTCTGTGTTTTGAAAATTTACCATAAGAGACGAGTGTCGTCACAAACAGCCAAAGCTGACAGACCAAAAGGTAAAACTCCACATCATTTCCAAGTGAGATGCATTGTAATTACATTATTTTATTCCTTGTTTCTTTTTATTTATCCCTTTTTTTATTCATGCATTTGTTCAATGCTTTGTTGAGGTGTACACTTTTTTAACTTGTTTTTGTATTGTTGGTGCCAAACTCTGAACTACTGTGGACTGAATCTCTTAATAAACTTAAAAAGTTACACAAACATGAATGTTGTTTTTTTATATATACTAGTTTAAATGTTTGTCTTTTTAAAATTCTGGAGCCAACAAGGTAAAATCCAACGATTGGTAATGTTTTTGTTAAAGCGAGGTGTGGTTTGATTTATATGGAAAAGGCAAATGAAATTATATAAATACAGGATGTTCTTTTTATTGTTTTGACACTTGGGATAATAAAAGCCTTAGAAACAATTTTAATATATGAAGTATAACATTGTAGCAATGTAGTAATCATACATTTGAAATGATGCCTGCTAATTTTGTTATTAGCAACTAATGTTAGCCATGCGTAAGCATTTTTACATTATATTACGGTTATGATTTCCGAATCAGAATTACATATCTTGTTTTGAATTCACGAATAATTTGACACGTTATTATTATTATTATTTTACTAATGATGTGACGACGATCATTTGTCTATAAACTATCTGTATTTTAGAACGAATGCGTGAATATTTCACTCAAAAAAGGTGCTTTTTTCTTTTTTTGACAAACCCATACAGATGGTTTTCCGATAATGGTTATTACCCATGATGCAACGCGCCGGTGGTCTTGTGCGACGGCAAAAGAAGCGTATAGCTAGACGTAAACAATCGATAATGACAACAAAAGACAAGAATATTAAATCGCCGGAGGTCGATCAGACGGAGTGGTTGTATAGACATTAACTGGACACAATTAAAAGGGCAAGACACTGGGACAAGTTGAAAATAACGGATGGAAAAGACCCATACGAAGGCAAAGAGCTAAGTGGAAGCGGACGGACGTTGAAAGTTGGTCAGACAATGTATATAATGCGGTATTTATTAACACAATAATACAGCGTGTTAATGTAAATATCACAGTGGCATGTACGGATGTATGTTTTTTGTGAACATTGTTAGAATACCACTTTACATGGAGGATTTACGTTTGTATTGTGTGCATTTGTCATGTGTGCAAAGTACAGTTTGATATTTTAATTTTTATTGACATTGAACATATGAATTAAATAAAAGTATGATGTAACTACCCGAAATAAAGTGTTCAGAACAGACTTTGTAATGCCTTTTGCTTGGATCTGGGTTGAAATCAGCGCGGTTAATACGTAAAAGCCGTCAGATTGCTTTATGTCAAAAACTTCATCTTGCGATGTCCATTCCCAGATCGGTTGGTAGAATCCCACACAACACGGGTATTTACCATTATCGGTGTTGTTTTATGTATTTAATATCTATCTATACGATCTTTTACCGCACAAGACGGTGGACTACGGAACTATTAGCAGGGTGACAAACTGAAAACTATCTATACCGGAGGTTACGTGACGGAAATTCCGGGAATAAAGGCGGCTAATACGTTTATGTTCCGCTGTAGCAGATACATCGTAGTCAGAGAGATATTCACGAATGGAAAACGTCGACAGTTTAATACTTAAGCTTCACGATGT